CAAAAGGCGCCCTTGTTGTGGGCTGGATCTTGAAAGGAAACCAAACCCCCACAAACGCCAAAAAAAGAGCACCAGCGGAGGCTGCGGAAGGACCAACAACTTCAATTGAAATGAAGATGACAATCGTGGAACCTACTCGGAAAGCGACGCGTATGCTGACCCATGCTTTAGCCTCTTTGGCAAAATCTCACATCTGGCAGTCGCCCGTCATTCGAAACATGACGTAAGCTCGTTTCCATAGACTGAACGTGCTGTACAGCGACCTCCATCCTGAAGCATTCACGATTGGAGTAGTGTCCTGATTACGCTCAGGAACGCAGGCTATCAACAAGATCCTCGGACCCACTAGCAAAGCGACACCCGAAAAGTGAAGTCTGCACCACGGCGTGCCTGCGATGCAGTGGAGAAAAAACAACTCAGGCCGTGCATGAGTGGGCCCTTGCAACCCTGCGGCAGCCCCACAACCGAGAGCTATGTACAGCTCAAGCCCAGCGACGAGGACGACAGGTCCTTCGGCTCAGGGACTGTCTTGGACCAGCTGGGTGACCTCAGCGCCCAACTCAGCCCGGCGCCGGAGCACAGCGCGGGCTCGAACAGTGCGGGCAGCCACGCACAGCTCCTGAAGGAGCTGGTTCTGAAGCAAGTCCGGCCGAACACCCTCCGCGCAGCAGCTGTGCGAGCAACCTCTTGCAGAACCTGGGCCGCCTGCGCGTCCCATGCCCCTGTGCTCTCCTGCACCATTGGCTGGAAATTGACCCCTTGGCGAGCACAAACATCGGCAGTGTTCAGGTGGCGGGCCTTGAAGTGAGCGTAACTGGCCGCCGCAGCCCCGCCGCGCCGCCCTTGGAACGTGAAGTACTAACATACTGAATTCATGTTGAACGTTGAGAAACAAAAGGAACTCATGGGTTCCCAAAATCGGCCCTAAAACAGTAAAAAATGAAAGGGCTCCCAAAGTGGGCAGGGGGTTCCTACTGGTTTCCCTTTGCAACTCGAGTACAAACCCATTTGAGTCACAATCCAGACCTGGTACAAAAGCAATTGAACCCAGAACCACGTAAAGAAGTAGAAAGGCGGCCGCAACTATTTCTGGCTGGGACTGCCCTTCCTAACCTTCATCTACCCGAATCGGTTTTTGAGCACATGATGGGGTAGGCCACACGAAAGTTTCACCCCCCCCCCAAAAAAAAAAGAAATACAATTCCAAAGTATTATATGAACTCAGCACAAGTAGGAAAACAACATCACACGAGGCCACGGCGTGATAGCACGTGGCTTGTATTGCAACGCAACTGTGGCTTGGATTGAAACGCAACTTGGCTGTGGCTCAAAAAACCGGTACCAAAATGGAACCCTGGCAACATGGACCAAAACCAGCGGTTTGCCCCTCCTGTTTAATTTTAAGCCACAGCCACTTGGTCATCCTTGGCTGGAATTAGGACCCCAGCAAGAGATGATTTTGTTTTGCCCGGTAGTGAAAAACAAAGGGAACCCCAAAAAAGCCAAACAAAAAAAAGAACTAATTCTGGGGAAGCATCTAGCCGGGTTTTGCGCACGTGGCTCAAACGTGGTGACCCATGCTGGCAAGTCTTGCCGCGCCTCTCCGCCAAGGTCATTGGCACACCCAGGGCATGCATGAAGCCCACGTGCTTTTGAAGCTCCTCACGCTGCGCCTAAGACCCCCTGCGCACGTCTTTTTGGGATGGGGCCTCTTATGGCTTGTCTTCCAAAGAAAGCTTCGAGGTAAGCAAACATTATATGATCTGTGCACAATTGTGTTGGCCTTCTTTGTTTCTAGTGGTGTGGTCGCTTTATTTTCGACAGGCAACGCCACCACCCGCCCGAAGACCTCTCCCTTTCTAAGCGTAGCCATTCGGGGTCTTGAAAGTGTTGTGTGTGGGGCGCCTGTGGCCGCATGTACCTTTCACGCGACCATTACATGTGCGAAATACCTAGAACCTACATTATCAGAATATTCATCATTCAGTTCAAATCTATCCCCTTGCCTCACAAAGGATTGGCTCCAGCGGGGTCACAGCAGCCAACAGATGACCGGAAGGACGCAACAACACCTGCCCTGCCAAAGAACCTGCCTTCATTCTGTGCGCACATCAGAGAGTCCAAAACACAATGAACTATATAGAGGTGACTGCAATATGCGGCAGTTGCCTTAAACTCCTTGTTCTCAGAAACGCCATCTGCGCGGAAAACAAATAACTTTCGCGGCCTCCATCGCGGATCTTTCGCGGGGCTGTGTTCACAACATGCATCACAAAAGCAGTATGCAAAGTACAAGTCTGCTGTCTGGCTTGAAAGTCCCCAACGCAAAGTAAACTTCCGCAGCCCCACCTCGAAAGTCTCAGCTTTTCAGCTCCAAAGTAGTACTTCAAAGCGCACTTCCGCAGCCCCAGCTCAAAAACCGTGCAGCAGGACAGGACCCCCCAAACAGGGAACTAGGTCAATGGACTTTTGCGTATTCGCGGATCTTTCGCCAAACGTTACCGAAAATCTGGCTGGGAAGTTGTTTAAAAAACAAACTACAAGAAAAAAAACGTTATGCGAAACAATCCCATTTCAAGTCTCCTATGTAATGTTTATAACAAATCAAGAAGGAAAACGACACGTTCCAAGCATAAATAAATCATCAATTTGCATCATTCGGTGGACTTTTCTGTGCGGGGTGGGGGGTTAGAGTTACTGTTAGGGGGGGGTGGGGGGTGGGGGTTGATAGCGCACGCAAATCATTGTTTCATTGTGAGTCATCCTCTCCTTCTGGGGGGGGGGTTGATAGCGTGCGCGCACTGACAGACATGCCTGTGCACACAGGTGGACGGCGCGGGCCTCAGAAAGCACGCGTGCACAACATACACATGACAATTTCTTATCAGAAAGGGGTGGCAATTGAATGCTGCAGCCCATGGAAGACCAAGAAACGCAGTGCGCACTTTTTTTCCTTCCAAGAAGACTTTGAGCAATGTGGCCTTGCGTTCTTTGGCATGCATCCTTTTGCTGCGACTGAGTGAGTGCGATATGGGGCAGCATCCGCTGCGACTCTAGTTCGATGTGGATATATTTTATGTTGATAAACTCTTGCAATGCCATTCTCAATTGCTGAACCATGCAGACATTGATGACACTTTGGAAGTGGTGTTGCTGCCGCATAGGTGGCCACTGAGCTTTGAAGCTTGGATGTCTTCGCAGTATTTCTTTGGGAAGTCTGGAACAGAAAAGCCAAAGAGCTGCAGGAACGTGGGACAATGTCATTGCCAAAGTCCGCCCTGCTGTGCACGTTGAACATGTTTGTCACAAAGACGGCGAGTTCACCAAGACTTGGTCGCAAAGCCTCGGTCGCGTGGTTCTGGCGAAGCCGGCACGCAAATAGATAGAACTTGGGAAATGAAATCCTACATCCCTCGGAATCTCAGCACACGCACCCTGAATGTTCAGAATACAGGTCCAACCCACAAGGCCATGATGTGCAAGCAGAGCTGGGGAGTTTGTGCAAGAACAATGCCCAAACGGTGGGCCCTTGGAAGCTCGACACGGAGTGAATCAAGATAAAATGCGCCAGCTGTCACACGGTGCTCCGGGCGCCGCAACCATGTTTTTGCAGCAATCGGGCCTTCGGAGTTGGCAGTCTGGAATCTGGAGTGCAGTCTGGATTCTGGAGTTGGCAGTTTGGAGTCTGCAGTCTGGAGTCTGCAGTCTGGAGTCTGGAGCTTGCAGTCTGGAGCAGTCTGGACTCTGCAGTCTTTTTTCTGGAGAGTTGGCAGTCTGGAGTCTGCAGTCTGCGACCTGCATCGCGAAGCTTTTGCGGCGGGCAACTTATAAGACAAAAAAGGTCTTCCCTTCACACCTGAATATGAGGACCTTTCGAACGATTCTCACATACCCACCTCCCACAAGCCAAGCATAGCCGAGTAATTATCATCAAGTTGGATTGCTTGAACAGGCAGCACTGTTGCCTTTACGTTTGCCAAAGCTAACAAGAGGTAGCCTAGGTTCTCTCTGCCACCAACAGGCGACTGTCCCCAGAGGTCGTAGTTACGAACAGGGCGGCCTTTCCCACCCAAATCTGCACCATTCCAGGCAATCCATTCTGTATGGCACTTGTTTGATCCTTCCAAGGGAAAATCGGTTTTGCCTCGACTGCTTGACCCCACACCCGCTCCTCTAAAGCTTCAGCTCCCTGGATGTCGAGGCCAGGCGGTGCCTGAGTCTGCAAGCAGTCTGAGTTGGTCCCAAGGTGCCCTACGAAGTTGTTCCCAGCCCAGTCATGTCAACCCTGGATTAATAAACCTCTGGTTGAATAAAATAGATATTAACCGCCGTTATTTTTTTTTCTTTTGTGGGGATTCATCACTTTTGGAGGGAACACCCCCCTCATGGGACGGGTTTATAAATCCTGGTTCAACATTAAAAGTTGGTTCCTCGCAAACCTAAGATAATCTCTTGACCGCCAAAACTTGGGGGTCAATTGAGAAAGTCACTCTGACCAACAAGCAAAAGAGATACGATAGCTTTGCGCAGTATCCGAGAAAGGGCCGGTGCGAAGGTTGCAACACCAAGAACCAAACAGGACCCCACCCCATTGGAGGTCTGGACCTCTCAAAAGCGCAGTTTGCATAAGATGCTTAGGGTCAATGCAGATCTCCATCCCCGGGACCTCCCTCCACAAATCTTCTGCTGCAAGTGCGGAAATTCGGTCCCGGGAAAATTGGGAATGCCCCTGCCTTCCATAAATGATTTGGGTGGGGATAAGGTCCTCACCATTCCATGAATTGAGTGTGACTATACAGGCTGACATTGAGCAATGGCAAACTAGACCTGGTGTTTTTAATCCGCGACTCTGTTCCAGTCGTGCGTTGCCTGCGTGGGTCAAGCAGTGCAAAAAAGGAACAGCTGACACCGCGCTCTGTGGGTATGTGTCAAATGGAACCACAGCAAATTAGGTGTTCCTATTGGGTTTCCTTTTTCACCGACCTGACAAGGGTATCCAA